CCTTAAGAATTTATAATTAAAAATCATATATCCGGCATCTAGATGAAAGGAAAGGTGGGCGTATAAAAAGGCGATACAAATGTGGCAGTGCGCGTACCCGTACATCAGTGCCAGCTGTCCCGTGAGCAGACGCCCGCCGACGAATTGCATTCAGTTTCACATGCATGAAATCAGGCAGCGTGCACAAACTGTGTTGCCTAATGCACTTGTTGCATGCAACATTTTACAACGGGGTTCCAGAGAAACGTAGTAGTGGGAATGCCATGCGCCTGTTATTCACACGGAAGCAAACAAGTTTACATGGTGTATGCTGAGTATCGAATCTTAGCACGTCTTTGACCAGGTCACCTGCCTCAAATACATGCTGCACTCATGATGGCATACATGTAGTATACAATGACCTAACAGCCTTAAAGGCGCTGCAATTAACCAGACACTGCTGCGCCGACGCCCTAAGCACCGCAACAAGGCCACAAGTTTAGTCAGCAACGAGTACAACGTTGTCGTGTTCCTTGTGTGAGAACGGAATTCGTTGTAGCCGGAACCTGATGCGTCGCTTACCGCAGGTTCGATTTATACCATGTTCTGGATTCCACGGAAGATATGAAATTTGCCGCCCCAACCTTCCATTCAACATTTAGCTGTCTTGTGTTCGAGGCCCAGGACTATGAACTCGACAAGTATACGTGGCTCAAAAATAAATGCTTGAAAGTCATCTAATTTCCCATGGACCCCAGCGTTTGAAAGTCCTTGCTTACACGTCCTAAAACTTGTGCATTCCTTTGGGAAACATCAGTAGACTACTGCTGGCGTAGTTTAGCTTCAAACTTTGTACTGGTGGATGACAAACCGCCTATATTCCTAAATGGAGTTGCAAAGTTGCGGTAACTCTTCATGGATACGGCACCCTTAATAACCTCGGGGCAAAAGTATAACTACAGCTGCTTATATTCAGTGGCATTCCATGGTTCATGCCTAATAAGCCTTTGACACCGAGGATTAACTTCCGTCAGCTACGCGGACACGTTACGGTGCGGAAACTAAGCAACAGTGTCTAAAGAGTCATCGGACAATCTAAGCATTCTATGAGCGCAAGATACGGCTCAAACTACGCTTAAGCAAACAGCAGGCATGTATTGTATTGAGAAATAGGTTATGATGTCAATAATCATGTATGCAAATTGTGAACAAACATTTCGCCTAGGGCTCCAAACAGGGCATTTGTTTTAGGACGGCAATTAGTCATTTGGAACCTCACCTTACAATTTGCCTAAACTTCAAGTTGGACGCACTCATCGAAGCTTCTGTACGCTGACTGCTTTTGGTTGTTTCACGTACTACCGCGCAGATGCAACACGGATAGTGACTGATAGTATCATTGGTGCTCTTTTTGCGCACACATGAATTATTATTCTTTTTCTATCACAGCCCATTTAAAGTAGCAGGGTATACAATAAGTTGTTAGCGTCCATCGGTTTTCCGACCTTCAGCGGACGCCTACCACTTAGAGCGAAGACTTGACCGGCGCGGTAGATTGACACTGAATGGCCCACCTTTGCTAAATTGAAGAGTCGCAGGGTGCGAAACCCTCCATAGGCAAAAGGATGCAAATCACCAATGGCTTCTGCACCGATTCTTGCCCTTAAATGCTCTGCAAATCTTGAAGTTACCCGATGTGACTGTATGTTTCCGGAGCCAAACAGAGTTCGCGTACAGCTAGGGCTTCGCATAAGCGTCCTGTAATCTTTCGGCATAGTCGGTATGTACTTCTTTAGACAATGCCGCAACCGGTTCGAAGCGGAAATGGTTGGGCGAGCGCATATTACCCATTTACTTAGCACTTTCCTGGGATCAAGGCTCTGCAGTACCAGGTGTTCATGTAAGCCATGGCCTCTGACAGCTACTACCACAGTAGGATTACTGTCCGAGGCGAGAGGTGTGCCTTAAATGGCTTCATAATGCGTCTTGTGGACAAGGTACCAACGGCAGCTTACATGTGAGATGGTTCCATTGCACCAAACGTAGGGATATTGGACAGTGTTGCTTCATTTACAATACCCAAACGGGCCTGTTCACTTTGTCCCACATTAATGCCTCAAAGCTGCTGAAAAGAAAACAGCTGAAACCTTCTTGCAGCTTTGGCGGGAAGCACTACGCGTCATCTGTCGGAGCGCAAGTTACGTGCATGCTGCGCGATCAATCGGCAGTGCTGTCGAAGATATCGGCTTGCGCGCCGGCGCAAGGTTCTCTTCTTTGGAAGTATAAAGCTGCAGTTGCGGTTAGTAATCGTTCTCACGTGCCAACGTTCATAACCAATTGGGCTAGAATTAATGTAAGCACGAATTTTACTGTTTAAAACCCTCCGCAACGGATCGTCGGAAAACAACCCGTAGCGCAGTAATGCGGGAACGGAAGTTCGATACAGTTTATGGTGCGTAGATATTAGGCGCACACATGGTTATTTCAGATAAACCTCCTGATGTACCAGCCATTAACTGTGGACCATTATTTGTAAAACTGTATGTGCATTTGCCTTACACTTCACAATTATTTTGCACTGCCCTAAATTCATTCCGCTAGACCGCTGTGGACACACGCTGGACCTACATCGAGATGGGAAGTTAGCGTGCCGAATTAAGCTGTTTTCGGTTCACTCTGTTGAGCGTGATATTGTGAGCTTCGTTTCGTTTGCACTTTGCTTTCGCACTTCCTCTTCGGTAGTGTTGGAGTAGCCACCAATCGTGCGCTTTTACGCCCTCCATCTAGCCACCTCGCACTCTGTCCTCTATCGGTAGGTGTGACACAGCTAGCCACAAATTTGACACAAGCACACCTTCCATTAAACCCCGACACGTACTAGGTAGGTTTCTATCTGCCTGCGAAATATCATTGCCATTTAGCCTTACGGGCTAAAACGACCCAAGCTCACCCCGGACGCAGAAGTCCTTGGCCTCCACTACCGGACGTACATTACATATTTGGCTACTCTGCCAACTCATAACGCCACACGCTGAAGAAATACTAAGCCGTTGCAACCAGCGTTAGCGTTCCCTCAAGCGAAGTCATCCGAGCCTGAGCGCTCAGCATTCTGTGCCTCAATTGGTTGACACGAGTCAGGGCTTCTGTAGGCGTTAAAGCCAGCACCTCAGTGTCAGTGTCGCAGTAACAAGGCAAGTGGTAACTTGTTGTCCAGCGTAGCCAGTATAGTGCGTGACTATTCCTCTTCACTGCTTTCCTATTTCGTCTTCGGTGTAGTTGAAGTAGCCAGTTATCGTTCGCTTTTATGCCATCCATCTAGTCGTCTCGCGTTTGTTCCTCTATCGGTGGCTGTAACAGTACTCTCCTGCTAACCACATGATAAGACACAAACGCCCCATCCATCCAGCTCCGACATTTAACAAGTGGTTTTCCCGCCGCCCATGAAGTACCTTCTTTGCCTTTCATCCCCCTCCATTTTTACCAAACCACCCACCCTCCGGACACAAGCCCCCGGCACCAGCTACTGGACGCGTATTACTGAGACCAGCTTCTAGCTGACTCAACTTCACTTTTGTAATAACACAAATATTTTGGTATTCTACATGCTTAGCCCGTTCCACTTTCTCTTTTGCCTTCTGCGTTTACTTTTTTCTCTTTCTTCCTCACGTAACCAGCGAAACAGGGACTTCTAGGGCAGGATTCGTGGGTATTAATTGGTTGAACAGTGTGATGCGGTCATTGTTTTAGGTCCCACGGTAGTTCAAAGTCACCCAACTCTTGGTTCGACGACCAGTTGAAGAAGGAGCACGCAGGGGGTAATCCTCTCGTTCCAGTCCTACTTGAATTAGTACTAGTGAGGGAACAAAGGTCATTTTCTGCTGTACCGTGCACCGATCCCTGAGTGCGAGGTCCCGCGGAGCATTCCGTGGGACCGTTCTATCCGCCCCTGGCGCGATTTTGAATGCCGGCAGGTGTTCATCAGGGCAACCTGTTTCTGCATTCTCAAAAAGCAAGGGTTTTATTTGGTACTTACGCAACTAAGGCAAGCTGTTCTTAGTGGCGTTCCGCAGGGCTCGGTATTGGGGCCATTGTTGTTCGCGATCTATGTAAATGACTTGCCGGGAGAGCTGGGGGTGTCATCATTAATGTTTGCTGACGACCTTAAGCTCTGGAATATTGTGGATATCCCGGGGGTCCTGAGGCAATTCAGCTTGCCTTGGATAGGCTCTGGGAACGGTCTACCTTATTGTTGATGCCCATAAATAGGGCCAAGTGCTCTGTTCTCCGAATCGGAGCTGTTAATCCTCCCACCCGATATGTCGACGGCGGTGGTGTACTCCCTGTTGTCACACAGCAGGTTGATTTAGGAGTCCTACATGCATCAGCACTTCATTCTGGAGACAACTGGAAGAAGGCTGCTTGTCGAGGGTTTCGTGTGATGTGGTTTATCCGCCGCTTTTTCGGAAGCTTAACGGCCAAGTTGTTATTGAAGCTACTTTCGGCATTCGTTTGACCCCACCTGGAATATTGTATTCAGGCTTGTCCACCATGTCTTAACCGAGACAAAATGGACTTGGAGAGGGTGTTACGAGTGGACACTCGGTTAGTGTAGGGTCTACCGGAGAGACGTATCCTGAACGCCTGCTCAGTTTGGGTATGTACTCCATGCACTACAGAAGGATAAGAGAGGACCCGATTCTCACTTATCGTATTTTGACGGGTATGATTGGCCCGGACTTGTCAGGGCTTTTTAGTCCCGCTACGTTACTAGTCTCCGCGGTCACACACTGAAACTGCATAAACCACGGTCTGATAGGATTAGGACGGAGACCCGCCCATCGCTGGAATTCGCTTCAGGAACATGTGGTTAGGGAACTTACAGTTAGGGGTTTCCGCGCCAGCTCGATGCTCTTGGGTGGCAAAAGCAAACATTTCCTAAAGCGAGAAGAAGGATCGGTACGCTTTAAAACCAATACGCGAAAATAAGGCCAACCTCCGATGAGTGGAGAACACGAAAAGTAACGCTAGGAAAAATTTATTAATGAGGCTAAACGCCATCTAGTGCTAAAAATAAGGCACCGGAAGATAGCTAGCTAAGGGAAAGTTGTGGTCGCGTGCGCGGAGAGCAAAGATGGCCGCGGAGCCGATGAGCGTCGCGCCGTTCGAAGGCGGGTGCTATGTTGACTCAAACAAACGCGAGCAACGTTCAAACAGGCGAGCGGCTATTTTGCTATGTACATCGAGAAAATATCATTTTGTGATTTTGTAATATTTTATGCAGCATGCGGCAGCCAAACAGGGGTATCTCCAGGTCACTACACAGCCCCCGTCTTAGAAGGGAACCGTAGGTGACCCTTCGATCTACGTGAGGACTGTCCGTCGCCGGCCAGCCTTCTGCGAGACCAGGCGGTGAAACCTGCTGCAGCTGCTGGGGGAGAACCAATGCGATCGGACGCTAGGGGGCTCCCACCCGTGTCCTCCCTACAGGTGCCAAAAACACAAAATGGGGGAATGTTCGTAGCGTTCGAGTGCGTAGTGTCACAGCACACGATGTTTGAGCACGTAGTGTCCGGAAACGTAACGTTCGATTGTGGTTGAACGTCCGCGTGTCGAGGATATGAAAAAGAGGCGGAAACGCGGAGTGTCAAACAGGTGCGAGCGACAGAGCTAACAAAAGGCGATAGCACTTACCGAGTGCGATAAGCGAATAAAGCGAGAACCATTTTGTATTTTCAAAACGATTTTCTCTTTTTTAGGTTTTCAAAAGGTTTTTGCAGTTTTTGGGGTTTTCAAAACTGCCGTTTGTTGGGCGGGTTAGGCCACAAGCAAAAGGAAGCGGGAAAGGAAGAATGAAATGAAGACTAATCTTTTAATCGCGCTGGCCAATGAACCCACCTATCTGACCTAGTCGATTTCGGACGTTCGGTCGGAGGCGTTGTCGATCCATCAGTTTTGTCGGATGAGGAAGCTTTCGGCTCGATAGAATCGGAAGGAACTGAGTCGGAAGGGTTAGTCGGAGAATGCTTCGTAGCATCGGAAGTAGGCGTGTCGTCGATCATAGGCTGCGTTGACTCGTCCGAAGGTGGACGGGAGTCATCGTCGATCTCAGGTTCCACATGGGCAACCTTGAGACGGTCGATAGAGACAGTTTCACGTTTACCGTGGCGGTCGATAACGAATACGCGGTCCTTACGTTTAAGAACCTTAAATGGACCTTCGTAGGGTCGTTCGAGTGGTCTGCGTAGACCATCGACTCGAAGGAAAACGTAAGCGCAATGCAGTAGATCTTGTGGAACGAACGATTTACGTCGTTGTTCTCGCACGTCGGTTACTTTGATATGGCGCATGCTCGTGGCTAACTGCCGAGCGTAATTCGCGTCGTAGCGGGGTGTTCTGGGGTTTTCAGAAAAGAAGTCCCCAGGTAGTCGAAGAGGTTGTCCATATACCAGTTCGGCGCTGGACGTGTGCAAATCAGCTTTAAGAGCTGATCGGATACCAAGTAGTATCATAGGCAGTGCTTCGGTCCAGCTTAGTGCATTAGCGGCACTAAGTGAGGCCTTCAGCTGTCGGTGGAAACGTTCCACCATGCCGTTGGATTGCGGGTGATAGGCGGTAGTCCGGATGCGTTGACATCCGAGGACTTTGAGAAGATCGTTGAAGGTCGAGGATTCGAACTGCGGACCGCGGTCGGTAGTCACGGTGGCTGGACAGCCATGTGAAGCGACCCAGCGCTCAACGAAAGCGCGCGTTACGGTGTCCGCGGATACGTCGGGTATAGGTACGGCCTCGGGCCAACGGGTGTATCGGTCGATCATGGTCAGAATGTAGACCATTCCTCTGGATGGTGCCAAGGGTCCAACTATGTCGAGATGGACATGGGCGAAGCGAGCTGAGACTTGCGGAAAACGACCAAGCGGAGCGGACACGTGCCGCTGTATCTTGGCCTGCTGACACGTTAGACAACCGCGTGCCCAGCGCTTAAGATCGCGTTGCATTCCGAGCCAAACGTATCTCTCGGATATGAGCTTGATCGTGGCTCGGATGCCTGGATGAGCGATGTTATGAAGTGTGTCGAAAACTAGACGTCGAAAGGTTTCTGGAACGACGGGTCGAGGTCGTCCAGTAGAAGTATCGCACAAGATTGTGCCATCAGATGACGGCAGTGGATGCGATGTGATTCGTAGCGAAGAATCTTGTTTGACGTTCTGACAGTCAGTGTCGGTTAGTTGCGCGGTAGCCATGGCAGATAAGTCGATTGCCTGGCCAGCGGTGTGGATTGCGGAGACGCGCGAAAGAGCGTCAGCAACGACGTTATTCTGACCTGAAATGTGTCGGAGGTCAGTAGAAAATTGAGCCACGAAATCCAGCTGACGAACCTCACGTGGTGAGTGTCGAGCTGATTGATTTCGAAAGGCGTAAATAAGCGGCTTATGATCGGTGAAGATAACGAACGAATTACCTTCTAAGACGTGCCTGAAATGTCGGACGGTAGAATAAACTGCCAGCAGTTCGCGGCTGAACGTGCTGTACTTGACTTCTGCCGGTTGTAAGCGTCGGGAGTAGAAAGCGAGTGGTTTCCAGCATCCCTCAGTGAATTGCTGCAGGACGGCGCCAATGGCGGTGTCCGATGCATCGACTGCAACGCTGAGTGGAGCTTTGGGGTCGAAATGGTGAAGCATAACGGCTTCAGCCAAGGCCTCTTTGCAGGCCTTGAAGGCTTCGGTTGCAGCGGGCGTCAACTCGACGTTGCCGTTCTTGCGTCCACGAAGTAAGTCGGTCAATGGACTGAGCAAGTCGGCACAACGTGGCAGAAATCGACGGTAGTAGTTGATCATCCCACTAAAACGGCGGATGGCGGCCAAAGTAGTCGGAACGGGAAAGTCCTTAATAGCGCTGACTCGGTCTTCGAGCGGCCGTATGCCATGCTGGTCAATTCGATGACCAAGAAATTCGATAGATGGTTGCTGAAAGATGCATTTGTCAGCGTTGACAGTAATGCTATTAGAGGCTAACCTCTCGAAAAGCATCTTGAGGTGCTCCGCGTGCTGTTCTTCGGAAGAACTAGCTACTAAGATGTCGTCTATATAAGGATAAACAAAGTCGAGACCTCTCGTGACAGAGTCTATGAAGCGTTGAAAAGTCTGAGCTGCGTTGCGAAGACCGAAGGGCATTCGCAAGAATTCGAAAAGTCCGAAAGGCGTGATGACTGCGGTTTTCGGAATGTCATCCTCGGCTACAGGGATCTGGTGGTAAGCGCGAACCAGATCGATCTTCGAGAACACACGGGCGCCACGTAGGCTAGCCGTGATGTCCTGAATGTGCGGAATCGGATAGCGGTCGGGGACGGTAGCGTTATTGAGAGCGCGATAGTCGCCACATGGACGCCAGTCTCCTGACTTTTTAGGCACCATGTGTAGAGGCGACGCCCACGGGCTCTTAGACGGGCGAATAATGCCTAAGTCTAGCATGTGCTCGAATTCGGAGCGTGCAATTTTGAGCTTGTCGGGGGTCATGCGCCTGGCTTTTGCGAACACAGGCGGACCTTTCGTAACGATGTGATGTGTCGCGGCGTCGGTTGCGGAAGGCAACGGGACGGCAGGACGGAAGGCCTGCGGAAAACTATCGAGCAGCGTTTGCCCGACGGGTGAACTAAGTTGAGTCGCGTACACGGGACTGATTGACGCGGTGTCGGTCAAAGTCCCAATGACTGCGAGATTCGTAAGGCGGTCGACTAGACGGTGTCGCTTAACGTCGACGAGTAGGTCGTAATGACGTAAGAAGTCGAGACCAAGGATAGGCGTTTGAACATCCGCAACGAGGAATATCCATTTGAAAGCGCGTCGGAGGCTGAGATTTAGCGTGCGCGAGCGTTGACCATATACGCGGATAATGGTCCCGTTAGCTGCGCGCAATGAGCTAGTCACCTTTTCGGTCGGGTCGTTTGGATCACGCGGGAGAACGCTGACTTCTGCGCCAGTATCGACGAGATAGCGAACTCCGGTTCTACGATCGGTGACGAAGAAAAGGCGACTGCGTTGACCAGCTACGTCCGTCGCCCCTACGTGCTGGTCCGCCCGTTTCCCTGCTGCTGTCGTTTGAAGGAACAGGGCGGGCGACATGATTTAGCTTGCTGGCCGAATCGTTCGTGGTACCAGCAGTAACCGTTTCTATTCGGTGATCGCGAAGGAGAGTTCGAACGTGAACGCGAACGGCTCCTAGAGCATTTACAGCGGTTATGTCCGGAGGCCGAAAAGTCTGCGAATTGTCGAGTCAATGTTGCCATCTGGGATTTAAGCGTGGCGATATCGTCGTCCGGTTTCGTCTGGACCTGCGAAACCTGGCCGTACGACTCCCAAATTCGGTCGGCTGTATCGGCCAGTTTGGATAAAGGTGCATCCTCACTAGCGCAGAGGATGTGTAGCATCTCGCGCGGAAGTCGTTGCAACCACATTTCCCGAAGAAAAGAATCATCTATCGAAGTGGGTTTAGCTAGGCTCTGCATTTTTCGAAGCAGCTGAGACGGCTTAAGATCGCCAAGATCGGTTTCGTTGAGGAGTTTCGTAACTCGTTGTCGATCGGATAAGCCTGTTCTTCTCAGAACAGCTGTCTTGACTGCATCGTAAGTCTTTTGGTCGTCAGGAAGATCTAGAATGTCATCAATGTCATCGATGACATTTAGCGGAAGCGCGGAAACGACAAGGTGGAACTTGGTCTTTTCGGACCTAATACCACGCAAAGAAAATTGCGACTCTAGCTGACCAAACCAAGACTTAGGATTAGTCTCGCGAAAAGGTGCGATAGGAAGCGTAACTGTGCCGATCTGAACGTCAGAATCTACGCGATCAGTTTCCATAGCGAGCAAAATAGCGAGCCAGCGAGATTAAACCGGAAAATGAAAAGTGAAAATCAGACGGGTTAGCGAAAAAATGTGGCCAAATCTGAAAAGAAAGGTTAGCGAAAACTCACCGGATAATGACCAAAAGTCGGGGTCACCAATAAAGCGAGAAGCAGGATCGGTACGCTTTAGAACCAATACGCGAATATAAGGCCAACCTCCGATGAGTGGAGAACACCAAAAGTAACGCTAGGAAAAATTTATTAAGTGGGGCGAAACGCTATCTAGTGCTAAAAATAAGGCACCGGAAGATAGCTAGCTAGGGGAAAGGTGTGGTCGCGTGCGCGGAGAGCAAAGATGGCCGCGGAGCCGATGAGCGTCGCGCCGTTCGAAGGCGGATGCTATGTTGACTCAAACAAACGCGAGCAACGTTCAAACAGGCGAGCGGCTAATTTGCTATGTACATCGAGAAAATATAATTTTGTGATTTTGTAATATTTTACGCAGCATGCGGCAGCCAAACAGGGGAATCTCCAGGTCACTACACAGCCCCCTCTTAGAAGGGAACCGTAGGTGACCCTTCGATCTACGTGAGGACTGTCCGTCGCCGGCCAGCCTTCTGCGAGACCAGGCGGTGAAACCTGATGCAGCTGCTGGGGGAGAACCAATGCGATCGGACGCTAGGGGGCTCCCACCCGTGTCCTCCCTACAGGTGCCAAAAACACAAAATGGGGGGAAATGTTCGTAGCGTTCGAGTGCGTAGTGTCACAGCACATGATGTTTGAGCACGTAGTGTCCGAAAACGTAACGTTCGATTGTCGTTGAACGTCCGCGTGTCGGGGATATGAAAAAGAAGCGGAAACGCGGAGTGTCAAACAGGTGCGAGCGACAGAGCTAACAAAAGGCGATAGCACTTACCGAGTGCGATAAGCGAATAAAGCGAGAACCATTTTGTGTTTTCAAAACGATTTTCTCCTTTTTAGGTTTTCAAAACGTTTTTGCGGTTTTTGGGGTTTTCAAAACGCTTTGCAAATTTTTGGGTTTTCAAAACTGCCGTTTTGTTGGGCGGGTTAGGCCACAAGCAAAAAGGAAGCGGGAAAGGAAGAATGAAAAGAAGACTAATCTTTTAATCGCGCTGGCCAATGAACCCGCCTACCTGACCTAGTCGATTTCGGACGTTCGGTCGGAGGCGTTGTCGATCCAGCAGTTTTGTCGGATGAGGAAGCTTTCGGCTCGATAGAATCGGAAGGAACTGAGTCGGAAGGGTTAGTCGGAGAATGCTTCGTAGCATCGGAAGTAGGCGTGTCGTCGATCATAGGCTGCGTTGACTCGTCCGAAGGTGGACGGGAGTCATCGTCGATCTCAGGTTCCACATGGGCAACCTTGAGACGGTCGATAGAGACAGTTTCACGTTTACCGTGGCGGTCGATAACGAATACGCGGTCCTTACGTTTAAGAACCTTAAATGGACCTTCGTAGGGTCGTTCGAGTGGTCTGCGTAGACCATCGACTCGAAGGAAAACGTAAGCGCAATGCAGTAGATCTTGTGGAACGAACGATTTACGTCGTTGTTCTCGCACGTCGGTTACTTTGATATGGCGCATGCTCGTGGCTAACTGCCGAGCGTAATTCGCGTCGTAGCGGGGTGTTCTGGGGTTTCCAGAAAAGAAGTCCCCAGGTAGTCGAAGAGGTTGTCCATATACCAGTTCGGCGCTGGACGTGTGCAAATCAGCTTTAAGAGCTGATCGGATACCAAGTAGTATCATAGGCAGTGCTTCGGTCCAGCTTAGTGCATTAGCGGCACTAAGTGAGGCCTTCAGCTGTCGGTGGAAACGTTCCACCATGCCGTTGGATTGCGGGTGATAGGCGGTAGTCCGGATGCGTTGACATCCGAGGACTTTGAGAAGATCGTTGAAGGTCGAGGATTCGAACTGCGGACCGCGGTCGGTAGTCACGGTGGCTGGACAGCCATGTGAAGCGACCCAGCGCTCAACGAAAGCGCGCGTTACGGTGTCCGCGGATACGTCGGGTATAGGTACGGCCTCGGGCCAACGGGTGTATCGGTCGATCATGGTCAGAATGTAGACCATTCCTCTGGATGGTGCCAAGGGTCCAACTATGTCGAGATGGACATGGGCGAAGCGAGCTGAGACTTGCGGAAAACGACCAAGCGGAGCGGACACGTGCCGCTGTATCTTGGCCTGCTGACACGTTAGACAACCGCGTGCCCAGCGCTTAAGATCGCGTTGCATTCCGAGCCAAACGTATCTCTCGGATATGAGCTTGATCGTGGCTCGGATGCCTGGATGAGCGATGTTATGAAGTGTGTCGAAAACTAGACGTCGAAAGGTTTCTGGAACGACGGGTCGAGGTCGTCCAGTAGAAGTATCGCACAAGATTGTGCCATCAGATGACGGCAGTGGATGCGATGTGATTCGTAGCGAAGAATCTTGTTTGACGTTCTGACAGTCAGTGTCGGTTAGTTGCGCGGTAGCCATGGCAGATAAGTCGATTGCCTGGCCAGCGGTGTGGATTGCGGAGACGCGCGAAAGAGCGTCAGCAACGACGTTATTCTGACCTGAAATGTGTCGGAGGTCAGTAGAAAATTGAGCCACGAAATCCAGCTGACGAACCTCACGTGGTGAGTGTCGAGCTGATTGATTTCGAAAGGCGTAAATAAGCGGCTTATGGTCGGTGAAGATAACGAACGAATTACCTTCTAAGACGTGCCTGAAATGTCGGACGGTAGAATAAACTGCCAGCAGTTCGCGGCTGAACGTGCTGTACTTGACTTCTGCCGGTTGTAAGCGTCGGGAGTAGAAAGCGAGTGGTTTCCAGCATCCCTCAGTGAATTGCTGCAGGACGGCGCCAATGGCGGTGTCCGATGCATCGACTGCAACGCTGAGTGGAGCTTTGGGGTCGAAATGGTGAAGCATAACGGCTTCAGCCAAGGCCTCTTTGCAGGCCTTGAAGGCTTCGGTTGCAGCGGGCGTCAACTCGACGTTGCCGTTCTTGCGTCCACGAAGTAAGTCGGTCAATGGACTGAGCAAGTCGGCACAACGTGGCAGAAATCGACGGTAGTAGTTGATCATCCCACTAAAACGGCGGATGGCGGCCAAAGTAGTCGGAACGGGAAAGTCCTTAATAGCACTGACTCGGTCTTCGAGCGGCCGTATGCCATGCTGGTCAATTCGATGACCAAAAAATTCGATAGATGGTTGCTGAAAGATGCATTTGTCAGCGTTGACAGTAATGCTATTAGAAGCTAACCTCTCGAAAAGCATCTTGAGGTGCTCCGCGTGCTGTTCTTCGGAAGAACTAGCTACTAAGATGTCGTCTATATAAGGATAAACAAAGTCGAGACCTCTCGTGACAGAGTCTATGAAGCGTTGAAAAGTCTGAGCTGCGTTGCGAAGACCGAAGGGCATTCGCAGGAATTCGAAAAGTCCGAAAGGCGTGATGGCTGCGGTTTTCGGTATGTCATCCTCGGCTACAGGGATCTGGTGGTAAGCGCGAACCAGATCGAGCTTCGAGAACACACGGGCGCCACGTAGGCTAGCCGTGATGTCCTGAATATGCGGAATCGGATAGCGGTCTGGGACGGTAGCTTTATTGAGAGCGCGATAGTCGCCACATGGACGCCAGTCTCCTGACTTTTTAAGCACCATGTGTACAGGCGACGCCCACGGGCTCTTAGACGGGCGAATAATGCCTAGGTCTAGCATGTGCTCGAATTCGGAGCGCGCAATTTTGAGCTTGTCGGGGGTCATGCGCCTGGGTTTTGCGAACACAGGCGGACCATTCGTAACGATGTGATGTGTCGTGGCGTCGGTTACGGAAGGCAACGGGACGGCAGGACGGAAGGTCTGCGGAAAACTATCGAGCAGCGTTTGCCCGACGGGTGAACTAAGTTGAGTCGCGTATACGGGACTGATTGACGCGGTGTCGGTCAAAGTCCCAATGACTGCGAGATTCGTAAGGCGGTCGACTAGACGGTGTCGCTTAACGTCGACGAGTAGGTCGTAATGACGTAAGAAGTCGAGACCAAGGATAGGCGTTTGAACATGCGCAACGAGGAATATCCATTTGAAAGCGCATCGGAGGCTGAGATTTAGCGTGCGCGAGCGTTGACCATATACGCGGATAATGGTCCCGTTAGCTGCGCGCAATGAGCTAGTCACCTTTTCGGTCGGGTCGTTTGGATCACGCCATCCTACGAGGAGAACTGGGAAACGAGCTAAGGCAGTTCTTTCAGCTAAGACTTGGCAGCTCGACTCGAGGTCACAGCTGGAAGCCTTTTAAACCGAGGAGGCTCAAAGTCCGCTCAGATGTCGCTCTCTCTACTCGAGTGATTAATGATTGGAACCGACTGCCGGACCCGATTGTCAATGCGCAATCAGAAGCGAGTTTCAAACGTTTGCTAGACATCTTCCTACTGAGTACTCCAGGATCCTGCAGGGCTGATATTACATCCTGAGCCATGACAGCCAACTCGCCTGCAATCCTTGGAAGATCGGGAAGCGAAGGAGCTGACACGGGACCCCCTTCTGCTCTCTACCACTCAATGAACTCCCAGAGGTTTGTTGGGATGATCTATCTATTTCTTCGTCTACTACAGCCTACGCTTCTTTAACTCATTTTAATTTACTTCTTAATATTGCCTACCATATTCTATAAGCTTGTCTTCTCTGTTTCCTTTTCTTTACTGACACTACTGTTTTCTTTTATTCCTCACGTGGCCGGCACAGCGGGGACTGCTAGTGCAGGGCACGCGGGCATTGTTTGGTTGACCATGTGAATTGTGTGTGTTGATTTGGCTCTGCTTTGGCACATCAAGGCATCGGTTTCCATGTTGGATCAATGACGTTTTCGAAGGTGGAACATTCGCGGGATTTCTCCTACTGTTCCGGTCTCACTTGAACTTGCAGTTCGACTCTGGAATCTTTCGGTACAGAACTGCTGGACTTGACGCTGCAGGTACCACTACACCAGTTCGTGGACCTCCCCACTAGGTACATGAGCAGTCAGCAGCCGTTTATTTTAGATCTTGTTTTTGTTAAGTCACTTGACTTTAAATACGACTCGCCTCTTTGCGCTAGCGATCACGTTTGCTTGTCTTTCCAGTGTGCTCTTATCAGGTCTTGCCAAGCTACTACCAGTTAGTATCCGGACATTTGGGCTGCGGACTTCCAAGCGATGCGGGATAAAGCTAGGTCATCGCCTTGTGTGATATCTGAGTCCGATAATGTTCACATAGCCTGGGAAAAACTTAAGGCTCACCTCGTAGACATTTCTGCACCTCACATCCCACTAGTAAAAAGAAGGGAATCGAGAGCGCAGCCTCCGTGGATAGATTCCGCGGGGAAGGGCCTGCTAAAGTAGCGGTCTAGATGCTGGCGAGCATACCGAACAGCTCCGTCGAACAGCACGTTTGACAAGTATCGGTTGGTTCGAAATGAGTGCAAGCTACATCTTAGGTTGGCCCGGCTTCAGTATGAAAAGGGCTTAGCTAATACTGCCTCGAAAAATCCCAAGAAATTCTTCGCTTACGTTAAACGACGCTGTGGTGCAAGCTCGCCCATACCACCATTGCTTCGAGGAGATGGGACCCATGCCTATAGCGACTATGACAAGGCATGCGTGCTTGGTAAGCAGTACTCAAGCGTCTTTGTCCGCGAAACAAATACGCCATGCAAAGAGTTAGCTTCAAGAGTCTCTGAGGACTGTTGTCTGAATGAAATTCCTGTAACTGAGTCCCAAGTTCTCCGGTTGCTAAGAGAGGTAAATCCAACTAAGGCTTCCGGGCCAGATTCCGTTCATCCAAAATTGTTGCATGAATTGGCAGTGGAACTCAGTGGACCTCTGACTTGTGTGTTTCAGAAGTCACTCAACAGCTGTATCTTGCCTACCGAATGGAAGGAGGCTGTTGTCTGTCCGATTTTAAAGTGCGGTGACAAAGACCTACCGGCTAATTACAGGCCTGTCAGCTTGACTAGCGTGGTCGTTAAGTTACTTGAAAAATTAGTACGGGATACAGTGGAGAACCATTTAAATAGGTTTAACCTGTTTTGCGTCGAGCAACATGGTTTTCGCAAAGGATTTTCGTGTCAGACGAACTTGCTGGTAGCTCGTGAGAGCTGGGCTGAAGCCGTAGACAGTGGACATGCGGTGGATGTGGTGTTCATTGACTTCGCCAAGGCCTTTGACACTGTCCCCCATTCGCGACTCTCACTGAAGTTGAGGTCGTATGGAATAGCTGGTCGCGCTCTCCAGTGGGTGTCAGCTTTTCTGGATGGACGGGAACAGTGTATTCGTGTGGGAAGCTGTCTTTCGTTTCGACAAGCTGTACTTAGCGGCGTTCCGCAAGGCTCTGTCCTAGGTCCGCTGCTTTTCTCAGTCTACGTGAATGACTTGCCGGAGGAGCTTGAGGTGCCATCGCTCTTATTTGCTGATGACCTAAAGCTCTGGAATATTGTTGATATCCCTGCAGGTCCTGTGGCTCTTCAACGGGCTCTGGATAGACTCTGGGAATGGTCTGTCTTGTGGTTGCTGCCCATAAACCAGGGAAAAGTGTTCAGTGCTGCGTATCGGAGCGTCTGCTTCCTCCACAAGTTATGTGCTCGATGGGGGTGAACTTCCTCACGTGACTCATCAGGTTGATCTAGGTGTCGTCCACTGTTCCACACTACACTCTGGCGACAACTGGAAGAAGGCGGCTAGTAAAGGGTTCCGGATGTTGTGGTTTATCCGTCGTTCTTTTGGGACCCTAACCGCTGATGTGTTTGTGAAGCCTTTCTCAGCGTTTGTGCGACCCCACCTAGAATATTGCGTCCAGGCCTGTCCACCATGCCTTGTCCGGGACAAAATGGCACTAGAAAGGGTGTTGCATGTCGGTACTAGGTTGGTCAAGGGATTACGAGGGCAAACGTACCCCGAACGCCTACTTAGTTTGGGGATGCAGTCAATGCACTATCGAAGGATTAGAGGGGACCTAATCCTAACCTACCGTATTTTGACTGGGAAGGTTGGCCCTGATTTGTCCATGCTATTTAGTCCTGCTAGATTATCTGGTCTTCGCAGGCATTGTATGAAGCTGGACAAACCGCGGTCCGATCGAGTTAGAGCGGAGACACGGTTATCACGTCGAGTCATCGAGCGCTGGAACCTGCTTCCAGAACATGTTGTCAAGGAATCTACGGTTAAGGGGTTTGAGCGTCAACTAGACGCCCTTGGGTGGCAACACGAAACCTTTCCTTTTTCCTGACTAATTCCCATCTTCATACTTCGATTCTATTTTTCTTTACTTTTCCTCGCCATTGGTATTATTCTCTTCTTTTAACTGATTTCCCCTACTCTCTTACCTTCGCTTTTTCTTCCTCTCTTACTTCACGTAACTGACATAGCTGGGACAGCTAATGTAAGGAACGTGGGCATTAACTTGGTGGACCAGGGTGTTTTTCGGGTGTTTTCCTTTTAGACCTTTCAAGAAGTCGGAGCACCCCTATCAACTCCTGGATCGACGACCCGCTCAAGAAGGAACACTTACGGGATTCATCCTATCGTTCCAGTCCCACTTGAACTTGAACTAGAACACCTACAACCGTGTGTACCGGAATCACACGGCCGAAAAAACATTACTTCCAAGTGGCGGATAGGACTCCGCATTCCGTTCCACTGAAGTCTTTTTAGTGCGGAAAAGCGAATCGATATCGTTTTCTGGAGAATCACTCGCTAAATATTTAGACTACATCTTCTATTGCGCCCAAAAACTTGTCTTGCGCTAAAGCTGTTGCTTCTCATTCAATAGCCGTACAGTGCTCTGGATATGACGGCTGAATGCATATCGCTTGTTGTGGCATCGGCCCTGATCAGTACGAATCACCACAGCTGATGAATTCTTCAGCTATTGTTTTCTTCTGTGATGTCTGCCGTACTTCTTTAAACAACGGACGTCTTGTGACTGGGCTCTCCTCGGTCAGACCTCACCACATTTCAAAGGAACCCAATGCACCTGATACCCAGGATCCCAGGCTACTCCTCATTCTCCAACTTCTGCCTCCGTATTAATCTCCCACACAGGTAAGCGAAGTCGCGGGCCGTCTGATTCTTTCCCCTAGCCATTGGCAGTGACAGAGCCTAAGACAAAGACATGCAGCGGCTTTATGGGCCCATCACAATGAGCCTGGACCTTACCATGGTGCGATGCTTTGTGTGCCTCAGTGATCCATAGAGCTATGTTGGGTGGTGCATTTTTACACCTTCGGAGCCACTCACTCAATGCTTAGAGGCCAGAGAATCTTAGCCTCCTGGTTTTCCAGGTTGGGGGTTGGAATGTGGGTGGCACCTTATTACTTAAACAGGACTCCTTGTAGCTCAACGCCAAACCCGCTGCCTTGCGGTCAGGCTTTTAACCAATGGCTTTGGTTGAGAACCCTAATCGTTCTCCGGTCTAGGCCTGGGTAACCTGACAGTATCCTGCCCGCGCAATACAATGAGTCTCTTCAAACAAATTTCTGATGTTTTGCCCACCGCAGAGGATAATCGATGGTGCCCTATCTGCTGCGTCGATCTGCGTGGATAGGGGTTTGGATGCTATTGCTTAAGTCTACTCATCCTCTTTTTCCCCCTCTTATGCGTTTTCACCCTTATCGTCCCTTTCCAGCTTCACTTTTATCCCCCCAGTTTTCAGCCTCCAATTCTCGGCCCTCTCCCACCTTGCTTCGATAGCCGCTTGTCTTTAATTTTCAACTCATGTTAACGCGGAGCGTCATTCCTGCCCTGTCAACAGGCCCATATCCAAGCAAGCGGTCCATTCCAGTTCATCAGCTTCTATCTGGTGCCCTCGATCTTCCTTCAGATTGTCATGCCTCAATGTTCGCACATTGCTTCAGATCGGTCAACAGGCAGCGCTTGCCCGAACAATATAGACTCTCTCGATCGATATCTGTTGCTTATCGGAGACCCGCCTGCAAGACTCGGGTTGCGAAAGCTGGCCCCTTAGATCAGCGGACATAAAGAGGGTAGTTACTTTCGACCATCGCTGTCTTCGCAGTTTGGCCCACATCTGGTGGGAACACTGCGTGAGTAACGAGTGTTTTCGACGCCTTGTTTACTGCACGGGATAAAACATGAACCGCTCAGCACCGTTATATCACGCACCAGGCTCCGATGGCTCGGCCACTTGTTGCGCATGCCAGCCCACCGACTTCCGCGACATGTGTTGTTTGCGCGCTGGGGGTGTGGATGGAAGAGGAGGGGTGGCCAAGCGATGACTTGGTCGAGAGAAATGAAGGCCCTCACTTCCGTGCTGTCCTCACTTGGAGCGTCACGGCTCACTGGTTGGTGTCCAAAAGACGAACACGTTTGGCTAGATACACTTGCTGACATGGCAAGGAGCCGACCTCAGTGGCGTTCGTGCTATGAGTTTCTTTGTCCCACCCCATCCATTTTAGCCTCCCCCTCCAACCACGATCTCCTTTCGCAGCGTAATAGAATTTTACATAATAATTTTTCTTGTTGCCTAGTGGCCGGCTGGTAGCTTACCGGAACGATGCCCATCCGTTGCTGGTAGCTCAGTTGGCATGCAACTCTCATGTTTATTTTCCTTTTATGTATTGCGGCACAGTAGCTGATGTGTCCCCCACCTCTAGCTAAGGTGTACAATGATGATGATGTGCAAACGCAGCATGAAATCCTCAAAGTTGTTCGTTTTCTTAGCCAGCTTGCTAAATGACCGTGACAGTGACAGGAAGCAGTACTGCAAACTGTATCCCACTCGATGATATCCATGGATATGCGGGAGGTCAGTGAATCTGTTCGTCTCCAAAAGGAAACTCCATACTAACTCTGAGCACAGTGCAACCGGGCTGGCTATTAGGCGCGAGTTAAAACGGAGTGTGTTCTGACAGAGTAGCCTTGTTGACTAGTAGGGCTCAAAAATGCCGGAGGCAGGAGCAGTAGGTGATTATCGTGAGCTCTTCTAGCTGCTCAGTACCACTTGCCCCGGGAACCAGGCGTCAGTGGCAGTCAGAGACAATGTGGGTGACCGAATTCATCGTAAGGAGCGCATTATGGCTCTTCGGGCAGGGCACTGTCTGAGAACAGTTCAGCTGGCCTACTGCTTCCTGTCCCCTTCCTTAGACCGGTAGACAGCGCTGGATAAGTTGCATTGTTTTGGACACCTATTTATGCCCGATCACCTAGGAATGCCTTTTTTCTGTCAGCTATAGGGTGGGACAAGGCTCTGGGTGGGAAAAGTGGATATAGTAATGGGAATGAAGTCACTGGGTGTTCTTGGTCCTTCGCCTTTCAGGCTGAAGTTCGCGTTACTTGCCTTGTGCCTGGCTCGAGACTTTACAGCACGTGGTTCGTAGTCGCTACCAGCGGCGCGTCTTTTATTGTCTCCTTGTTGGACTGCCTGTTTAACGTGCGTTTGGTGCTGTTATTTGCAGGGTAATGGCTGCGCTTGACGCGGGGCAGTGAAAGTTGCAAGGAGGTTGTCTCACTGATGCCGCTTTATCCTTGCATGATAGCCAGCTGTTCGTGATGGTATGCTGTTGACCCTGAATATTTGCTTAGGGCATTAAGGTATCACGCTAGGGTCCCCTTTCCCCTTTATTATTCTCCGCATTGGTTCAACTGCCGATGTACTGTCGTTATTGATGATGATGGACCGATACGCCACCGGTTTTATCTATCAGCGAACAACCACTAGGAATAGTGCATCCGTTCACTTACTCTAGTCTCTGTCACCACTGTTGGTCACATCACTAAGGAAGTTACTTCGCATATTAACAAGACCCGTATGCCATTTTGTGGCTCAACCATCTATGAAAACCGTGAGATATCAGCCTGTCAGTAAAAGGTAGGATACATAGCGTTCCGATTAGGCAGGTCTTATCTGGGAGCAGGTCAATTCGCAGTGAAGACATGAAACGCTTGGCCTTGTTTGATCACAAGAGCTTACTGGCTCTTACTCACATCTGGTATGAATACCGAGTGAGCAGGGCTGAGGGCCAATTGATTTTCGGCAAGCAGCTTTATGGTTCTTCACTCGAGTGTTTGCTAAAGCTCAATGGTTTACGTTGCCTAATTCATCTCTTCTGCATGCCCTTTGACAGGCTTCATCTGCGTCGGTTGTTGTCTCTCGATTGTCAGACTGTGGTCCTAAGAACCATTAATACGTTAGGTTGGTTACTCTTATTGATATTGTGTTCATGTTGTGAGTTTGTCTCACGCCGATTTATTTCCCACCTCTAATAACATTCTTACACTTGATGCATAGTATGGGACTGACCACCATATCGCTTTTTTGTTTTTCTCGTATTGTATATCCCATTTTTGTATTGTGGCACATTAGCTAAACTGTTTCCCACTTTCAGCTAACGTGTAATGTTGAATGATTTGTTGTCGCTGCGCCAGCTTGCGTGGCCAGTCGATGAAATGACATGAAGACAAGAAACCTTGACTTGAGAGACTTTGTCAGGCTGGTGCGTGCCGTTTTCATGAATGAGGGTTCTAAGGTGGTCCACATCAGTCGCACTGTCAGTAACGTTCCTGCATTCGGTTTCTTACCCCTATCCGTTAATTTTCATTTCATCCCGATTAGTCTAACCTACTTCTTGATTACGCTTTTTATTTTATTTGCGTTTAACCTCATTTTCTTAATGTGGTTTTGTATTACTATTCTGGCTACCTGGGCCGTGACAATTGGACTTGCCGCCCAGACCATAATTATTCATCTGATGTTGTATAGAGGGCGTCATGCCGTCTGTTTTTGGAGTTCTCCAGTCTCCTGTTTATTTCGCATATGCACCCGATTCTCGACTACAGACTGCCTGTCGCCTGTCATCTTACCTTGTCCGTATATGACATGATTGAGAAGCTCCGATGGCGTGGATTTAAATCCGTCTCAGAGCTGTGGGATTTATCTTATTCCCACCGACTTCGACATTTGAATTTGTTGTTCCTGGATGGCCGTCGTCGGCATTAACAATTTTCACTGGACGCACTCTTAGAGGAGAGCCGAGGAGGGAGTTATAAGTGTTCTTTCATCTTAACGCTGTGTTCGACACGAAATTAGTTAGAAGCTTTACAAACAGAGTAGGCTACAGGCATGGTCCAATCTCCCGTGTTGAATGACTAGAATTGTTTACTGGAGTCTGTTGTCGATACACAGACATAAACGTTTCAAACGGTTGTTGGCTTCCCACCTTCTGAGTATGTCGGGATTTGGATGCTCCCAATGCAGTTGCACCGGTCCTCTTCGGAACACTTTCACGATGCGCAATGATCGAGAAGTGTTAGAGCTGAAAAAGGATCTGTTTTCTGCTCTCCTCTAGCCAATGTTCCAACGTAAACGTTCCCGATATTACCTCCGTGTGAGTATTCTTATGTAGCGAATCTAGACGTGTCCTTGTATCAAGGCACTAGGTAATAGGACCGTTAGACGGTCATTGTCATTTCCTCTTATCTTTAATTTCCTGCCTCGTTTACTGTGCTGTTAGACCCGTTTCCCTCCCTTTCTCGTTCTTATCATCCATCCATTCAGCTCAGGCCCGATCTGCTCTCCTTGGCTGTGGCAGCGATATCCAGCTCACTACGAGGTGTTAAACAAACGCATCTTCGTTTCGTCTCTTACTAGGTGGTTATGATAACTACTCAGGCGCTTACGAACTATTTCTTTTTCATTGCAGCTCCCCCCCCCCGGACCTACGACCTTGCGCATTGGAATCGTCGGTCGGACGCTTATTGCACTCATTGTTTTCTGATGATTACCATTTGAGCGTTATATTATCTTATATCGCCTGTCCAGGGTTCATGGGCATGCGCGTCCTGCTCATCCGGACAATCTATGTGCGAAAGACAGTGTCTACATTTATTCTTCAAATCTTTCACCTGTGACTTATGTCTTTCAAGGATTTGGCCGATACCCGTTTTTCGTATGTTTCCATTCTTTCACCAAATTACCGAGCAGTTTGATTCCAAAGGTTGTCAATGGAGGTATTGCGGGTATTGTTGGAGTTACCTGCGTTTTCCCTATTGATCTGGTCAAAACTCGACTCCAGAATCAACAAGATAGCATTCGTCTATACAGCAGTTTGTGAGTGTCCCTTTTTCCTTACTACTGCATCGAGTTGTTATCTAGTGCTGTATATGATTTTTAACTGACCGTGCGGTTTGGTTTTGTTTCTTATCCATTTGGTGAATGTGAACGCACGAGGAGGCAGTCGGGTCAGATCACGTACAAAAACGTGCGTCCCGATTCATGTACCGGCGAGCTAACCAGATCCTTTGGTACTTCAACGTTTGCTTGGTCCTTGCTTCTGCGATAGAAGTGCAGAGGTTCAAAATTCACCGCGGTCTGCCAGCTGTAAATCTTATTAGTCACCAACCTCCTGAACCATTTTCAACATCCACTACACAATCGCATTCCACTAATTCGGATCCGTGTCTGCACGGGTCGTCTCATTTAGGCGTCTTTCCTGTATACATATACATGTACATGTATACAGGATGTATACAGGATGTACATGTATACCAGGAACGTACATGGCCTAATTTGTCTGAAAAATGATATTAATTATTGGGATCCCTCATTGTCGCTTCCACCTTAACTTGTGCATCTTTTCTTTTAAACATAATTGTACACCCCGTCAGGATGAGTAACCGATATACTGCCGCTGACTGACCTGTTTGTGTATTCCTGGCTCTCCCAGTGAGACACGTTTCGGTCTAACATCGGTCACCCAGAAAATTTCGTGTGTAGTCTTACATATTCAGTATTGCACTTGGACGATTTGGAACTTCATTTCTCTTGTTCACAGACGGTATCCGTGACCATCATAAATGCGTACACGCATGTGTTAAGGCTACTTCGGAATTAATTTCGGTTGCCATAATGTGATCAACATCTATCTCCCTGGGACGTCCATGGACACAAAAGTCGCCTACTGCAATGCACACCAATCGATCACTCGTGCTGAGCAAGAGTGAACTTTATTTCAACTACTTTCTGCACAACTTGTAGTATTTCTTGATATCTAACCTACTCCTCTGTTATTTGTGCTTTTGATGGTATCCGGCGCATGTAATTCAAACGGAACAGTAAGTTTGATGCCACTGGGCCATTTCGTCATCTTTGACAGGCATTCAGCCGTGTTCCCCTTTTGAACCTTCCCATTTCTCACGTTCCCCCACTCTTGATCCCCACAATTTCGGAAATCCGCAATACCTAACAAATGTAAATCTGTGATTTTCAGTTGTCATATTGGTATCTTTTGTTATGACAGCTAAATTTTTAAAGTTGATATCACTGCTCTTTCGTTATACTTCACATTTTAACTTTCACAGCCTCAAGATAACATTTCTGGTGCGGCAACATCAAGGCACCTGTCTGCAATCACACAAAAGTTATCATTACTGTTTAATTTTGTATTTACTTGTTGTTGGCTTCTAACTATAAGGCATATCGTGAATTAATAGGTATCGTAACAATACGTTTGTCGAAATATTATTGCGAGTCTTGAGCCCGATATCTTTGAGCAAGAATGCTTATGTTCGGTTCCAGAATTGACAACATATCGAAGATTTCTTCTTACTGTCATGTCAAATCTGTTTCTACTTTTTGTTAGAGAAACCACTACTGAATACACATACAATCAAGTATGTGAATGGAAAAGGAAGGAAATACATTTCCGTCATTTCCCACTATATGGGATATATGTTAGGGGCATCAGTCTGGATCCACAAATCCCTTTTATATTGTAAGTAGTAGGGGGATTTATTAGGTTTTGTGTAGATTCGTTGCAGTTAGATACAGGCAGACAGCCACCACACATCCAGGAAAGTGCTAGACGGCTGTTTCGTCCTATCGGGACTCGTCAGTAGCGCGTACCCCCCGAATCCTTCCGGATTCGAACCCATGACCTTACTCTTGCAAGTCAGCGACTTATTCCACTGAACCATGGGCGACGGCAGCGGACCGCCATGTCTGATATCTGACTACGATATAGCGCGGCTCATTCTCCACTGTCTTGTATGTTATGAATGTGCAGAGGACAGGGCTGGCAGCTCTGTGGAACTTTGCTGGATTTCAACTCCAAACTCCCAGGGCTATACATCAAATGGATCTAAAATCTTAATCTGGATTCCCACGTCAATCAGGTGATAAAACCTGTCTTTTATTTCTTTTCGGAGTTGTTTTTAAGGACGGGCACAAACAATCGTTTTCATCCTCCAGCTTCTCCGTGACTGTAGCGAGAATTGCGAGGTGTGAAAATTCTAAGGGTCCGGTGCATACACATCCAGCTTTTTAAGAATAGCGATAATGGTTCCTTTACTTGAAATGAGACTACTCAAATGCCTTGAAGAGTTTTACTTAAAAAGTTGTGTCTTCCAATAACGTCAGTCGGATAGAAGACATATGGCTTACTTGTTAACCGTTTTCTTTCATAATCAGTTCCAGAAAGGAATGTGATAATGGTGTTCCAGAGTGCAACAAAACAGTGAAAACAGTTGTCCTTTGAAAGCCATCTAACTTCTGTATGCAACTAGAGAATCTAGAACTCTTCACAGTTCTTCTCACACAACTACTAGAAAAGACGATTTCACATTGTTGACACTCATTGTTGTTGTTGTTGTTGTTGTTGTTGTTGTTGTTGATTTCACATTGTTGACAGTGGATCGTTTAAGCGCCCTCCCAAGTTCTTAGCCACTAGGTGCCCACGATAAATCACACAGTGCATCACATGAACAGAAGACTAACTAAATACATAAATAAACGTTTTATTTCCGGCAGTGCAGGGCACGCCTGTGAAGGCATGATCATGATAATACAAACAGGTATGGTCGGTAGTTGTATAGAAATACAGCAGGTTAACCAATAACATATTGTGTTTGTGTATATGTATTTGTTAGTGATCATGATGAGTGAACTTGTGAAGCGTGACTGAGACTGTTTACTTTGTCCGCCATCGTATGAGGAGAGCAAAGGAACTCTTCGAACTAGATGACGTTCGTGAAGTGGGGATTCTCCTGAAGGGGAAGAGGCAATGACTTTATTTAGTGGTGAGTCACATCCGCCACGTCGCAGCGTTGTTAAATGGACCTGTGGCTTTTTATGGGGAGATCGCTTGGCAGGCAAAAACCCACCACCTCTTGGAACACTGCCGCCGAACTATTCGCTGGAACGGGGTTAACCCGAACCACCCAGCTGGCACTACATGGAGGTTGTTCGGCTAGCTAGCCTGCGGTAGGCAATATATTTTTTAAATATCTTACGACCACTGCGGCAGCACTATCTGTTGCATGTGGAACCATGTTTTGTATTGTGATCGAGTTTTCAGCTAGATAGCTATGGATAAGGTCAAATGTTGACTGCCCCTTTGTATGCGTTTTAATTCTCCTGGCGGACAGAATCTCTTCCACTGATTCCTTTTCATTGAAGAACCTGGTCGTCAGATCAAGTAGATTCAACTACTTGTAGCGAAACTTTTCCGGAGTATGGTACATTAACTAAGGTGCTTTCTATATCCTGAGCCATCCTATCTATTCGCATAGATATATTCGAACTGCTAAGCAGAATAGCCTGAACTACTTTTCATGCATTCATATGCATCAGGTCATGCAGTATTATTTATACTGAGGGCAAGATAATATTTTCTCCAACATTGTACAGGCTGCAATTTTTCGCAATCTACTTGCTGGTTTTATGAGTCGCCGTAAATCGATTCGCCATATTTTTGTCCTGTCAAAAACCATTGTCTTTAAACTTGGTCTGTTTTCTATACTATCCCGCAGCTTTCTGAAAAAATCCACATACTTTCCTCTTTCGGCCTTATGCACACTTTCCAAATGTTTTTTAATTTACTTGGTCGCACTCTTTCAATTGAAGGAATGTTTTGCCAAATTGAACACGGTAGAATCTGGTATTGTGGTGGTGCGATAGTAGTAGTAATCTCAGTAGTCTCGCAACTCGACAGAGAGCCAACAGCAAACCATGGAGATCCGCGGATAAGGGACAGTCATCGCGTCATAATCATCGTTCCATAGTAGTTGAAGGTGAGCAACACAATTCAGCTAATATGCCGCAGGAAGAAAAAACATTTTGCCAAAAAGTAAAACAGGACGTTTTTAGTTTGTTTTTCACACGCCGATTTTTCTCTTTTTTGTCATTTTCAATGTTTGAAGTATTAAACATGTGAATCGATACAATACTGTACACAATTACTCCACTGATTCCGGTTGCGGGACATGTCCCCAAGAGTGTTAAGCCATTGGCACTCCTCATCTTTGGGTCCCCATCCTGGAAGACGTACGGATCCAACAGCGGCTAGACACGACGTCAGCGATTTCATCTGCTGCCGCCATGTAGAAGGCTGACCACCACGCGGTCGCTTCTAGCCGCATCCTTGACGAGCGAATAGAGCGCGACGCGGTAGATGCTCAAGTGCCATGCGTAGGACGTGACCGAGCCATCTCAACTGGCGCAACAGAATCGCTTTTGAAGGGAATACTCGCATTCCCCAAGATGCGACGTCGAACATCATTACCATTAACTTGATGTTGCCACCAAACACGAGCAACCTTCCTTAAGCAACCGTTATCGAAGGCAAAAAGACGACGCATGTCTTTCACGCGAATCGGCCAGGACTCGCTCCCATACAACAATACTGAGCGAACTGATGCGCTGTAAACGCGGCCCTTTAGCGAGAATGAGACCTCGCGACGACGCCACAAGTGTCTCAGGTTGACAAATGCTGATCGAGCTTTAGCGATGCGAATAGAAACTTCTTTGTTGATATTGCCGTCAGCAGAACCACAACTCCCAAGGTAGACAAAACTATCTACCTGTTCAAGTTGTGCACCTTTGAGAGTGAGCACGGGAGCAGGTGGAAGCCAATCCTTGAGCAGTACTTTACACTTCGATGGTGCGAAACTCATGCCATACTTAGATGCTTCAACCACCAAACGATCCAGAATGAGTTGCATACCATGAAGATCGTCACCAATTAAGGCGATGTCATCAGCATAATCTAAATCTGTCGCGCTCACTCGGTAGAAGCTCTAGGCCAAAGTGTTGGAAACCTTCTAGAGTACTCG